CGAAGGCGTAACAGACGTCCCTCCTTCTCCTTCCAACGATGAAGAACCTCCCTCACCAGGACTTCAGCGGTCTAGGTCTGGCCACCACCACGTGCTGAGCACGTGTGCTGTTCATGTACTTGCTTCACCGGTGCACCCGCGCTTGCCACATTCGGCCAGGCAACGCTGGCGGGGGTGCTGCTAGTATTCTATATAAATCCCGCGCGGGATTTATACTGGCCTATATAACCATGGCTAGACGAGCGCTGATTGGCTGAAAACAGGCCCTCCGTACCGTACCATGGTATAAGATATTTGAGTCGAATACAATAACAGAACATGAAATAATAATTATGGGCGTACGAACTTAGGATACCATGTACGGACTTCGAGCACCTGGGTCTACTAGTGTTGCACTGAAGTGTCACTGAAGACCTCTACTCACTGACTCAGGTCTGCGGAGCCGGAGATACAATGACTATGAATGATTGGAAAGGCTTTCTGTCTAAAGCCTTTCCATACTGGTGCTCGATGTTTTCAGTTTGGGGACACCAAAATTAGTGTACCGCTAAAGACACGTGGTCGACACGTTGTTGACACGTTGTAGACATGTTGTTGACACGTGACCCAATAAGCGGCCTACCAAGGGCCTTTGGGGACCGCTAACAGCAACTGTGGAACAGTGCAGTGCCCTTTTTTGGAGCAACGTACGAGTAGTGCCCATGGATTATGACCCCGCGACCCCAATCTACGTGGCGATCCGCAATTCGCTACTTCATACTGACTGGCGTCCGGCATCGTCCCGAATTTGGCCGCAATCTGCTCTCGGGACCCTGTAGGGCTCCCTGACCTGCTCCATCTCCGCCATCGTCAATGTACTGCGCATCCACCCAGGCCAGGACTGCACTTACTTACGGGAAGGAGTATTTGCAAGATGGAACCTGGGAACTGGAAGACGACGAAGAAGAAGCGTGGGAATCCGGCAGCAATGGCTGGGATGTAAGTCCAACATTGCTGGTGCTAGAGTTGCCACTGCTTGCTTATAAGGGAATCATGTGTGTTGCCCTTTTTTGCCTTTTCCGACGTCCTCCTCCGACTGTACTCCCAGGACTGAACTTACGGGAAGGAGTGCTTCCAAGATGGGAGACGAAGAAGAAGAAGAAGCCGCTGAATCCGGCGGCAATGGCTGGGATGTAAGTCCAACAATAAACATTGCTGGTGCTAGAATTGCCACTGCTTGTTTATAAGGGGTTCATGTGTGTTGCCCTTTTTTGCCTTCTCCCATGTTCTCTTCCGACTGTACTGGTGAACGCTGTCACATATGTTGCCCTTTCCAGGCAGTAGAAGGGAGGGGCGGAGGGCAGCACATCTATCCTGGCATCCAGGAATGCTGGGTGGAACTGGGCAATCTGACCTTTCCTCTTACTCCAATGATGGTATGGATGGGGAGTTCTTGAACGTCCTCAGTCTTGTTAGAGTGAACTGTGCAAATCGGCAATCGATGATAGCAGAGGACCAATGCCGATGGCGATGCTCCTTCCTTTTTCTCTGTCACAGGCTGCGTTCTCGAGAAGAAGCGTTATTTCTGCATTCCAAGAAGGACGGCACAATGGTGAGTGGAACTTCGTGGGTGTGCAGCCTTGCTAGTTGAGTTGTAAATCAACCATTCTTCCTGTCTCTGACTTCTTCAATGTCCTCCTCAGTGTCGGACTGTCCGCGTCGCATTGAACTGGTCCGATGAGGCTGCTATTGCACACACAGTGAGGGAACTCCCATGATACGGGAACTCGGAAGTACTGCTACAGTACAGGTAAGGTGGCCGTTGCTTATGTGCGTGCGCCGTTGTTGTCAACTTTTAAGCCAGATGTACTCCGACCTACACGGAGTCTGAAAGTAGTCAGCTGGCGAATTACAATTGAAGTTTAGACGTTAGATGCGCTTGGTCAGTTTCACAATGCATTGCACCAAGAGTACATAACCCCGGGGGTTATGTACTCTTGATTGCACTCAGCACCGCTTCTCGGAATATCTTGTCAGGATAGCTGTGGAACGCATCCTCCCCAGTGGAGGAACGGCAAATGTGCTGTTCATTTTAGGCTTGCTTTTATGGTACGTACAAATCCCCATTGAAAAGACATAGTGGAGACGAGAAACTGCAAATAGATGTTGGGAACCGCGAAGACCACCCTTCCTTGAGTTCCCTGAGGGTGTCGAGGGGGGGGGGGGGGAGAGTGGAGGAGGGACATTTAAAGCAGGATTCACAGGAGCATTTTCAGAAATTGCTTGTACATTTGTACCAGTTGTAGCCGACAAACGCATTCTCATTGAGCTTTGACTTGAGGCACGTCAGCAAGGCGCTGTTGCATCGCTTACGTCTTGTCGTGATTCTGTGAATGGTATTTTGTGCGAGTTTGCATCGCACGCAGAATCGCAGCCGGGTCATGCCGCATTGCGCAGCACACTGCCAAATTGCTTCTGTGACTCCCACGTGAATGGGAATTCCAATGGGAATGTAATCCATTGCCAACAGGTGTATTCCCGAGCTGCGCATCATACTGCAAAATTGCTCCTGTGCATGCAAGTGGATTTCATTGCTCTTTTCAGTTTAGGAAATTCTCGATTATGATAATTCTGCATGTGTGTGTGTGTGTGTGTACACCAGCCCTGAACATACATGTAGGTGACCCATTTGTGGTGTCTCATAGCCTACCTCACGACCTTATGCTTCCTTTCTGCATCACTTGTATCTTGCAGGTATATCATCCCGTGACGACCACATCGAAGTCTGAATTTGAAGTGTGAAGATGCTTCAGCAACCCCTTCATTTTTTCCATTGCTTTTATTGTGCTGCTACTGTGCATGTGTGTAACTTGTGGGGTATGCATGTGATGACAATGTATGCCGGTGACACGGTCAGATTTTGTCCATGCGTGTAACTTACATCTGCATGCTATCGTTGAAAAGGATCTGCCACTTACGATCTTCGGACGAGTATCAGGTCAGCTTGGTTTTGTGTGGGCTGTACCAGATGCTGTTCACTTCTCTATCTGTTGGATATGTGACTTTCTGCAAGTTTCTGGTGTATGGTGGCCACTTCTTTGCTTGTCTTTGTATGACATTACAATCATTCTGCACTCACTGCTTCCATGGTGTGGTCTGCAAACTGCAATCCTTACGCAAATATCATCACGGTTTGCAATGTTGTGCTTTGGCTGCCAGCTTACCTTTATTTTGTTTCACAACTGACTTCCTGAAGTATGGTGGCCACTGCTTTGCATGGCATTATACAATGTTCATCAAGAATTTTCCTGTTTGGGCCGTGTGTGTGTGTGTCACTGTGTGTGTATGTGTCACTGTGTGTGTATGTGTGTGCGTGCCCATGTGTGTGTGCCATGTGCATGTGCTTGTTTGTCACAATGTGTCTGTGTGCGGGGTAGCGAGGTGGGAAGGGCTGGAATGTATCCGTGTGCTACTGCAATCGCATGGCTACATACAGTGCATCGCGCGCATGCTCACCATGTTTATCTTCGGAGCTGGGCCGGGGTGGGGGAGGGAACAGAAAAAGAACTGAAATTACCCATATAAAAACCGCTCTGTGAGCGGTTCTGAAAAACCTCTACTGGTGCATGGTGCAGCCCCGTCGTAAAAGTAAGAAATTAGGACTGGTGCATTGTCCTCCCAAATGTGAACTGATCCACCTAAATCGCGATTGACGGGACCCGAACGCACCAGTAGCACGAGGTCGGGAGGGCACATGATTACAGCAATGGACCGGCGCCGATCAAGTTACCATACAACACTTACAGTACCCCGAAGCCCACCTTTGGCTTTGGCTATGGACCAGCGTCCCCAGCTGCATCCACAGGTACTAGGTAGGAACCTCGTGCTACTGGTGCGTTCGGGTCCCGTCAATCGCGATTTAGGTGGATCAGTTCACATTTGGGAGGACAATGCACCAGTCCTAATTTCTTACTTTTACGACGGGGCTGCACCATGCACCAGTAGAGGTTTTTCAGAACCGCTCACAGAGCGGTTTTTATATGGGTAATGATTGTACAACGGATGTACGTGTACTCGAGTTTCAGCACAACTATTACTTGGTTCTAAAAGTAATGGTCTTGTCTTGGTTGCGCTCACCTTCCCCTCCTTATGATTGTTATTTGAAAACTTATTTCTATAACTAACTACTTAGAACCTTCCATAATTAGTTGGACGGCTGTTGGAGTGCGCATCCAAGTCACCAAGATGTGCTACAGCTGTTAGTGTTAGCCAGCTAGTTGCAGAACGTCAGTCCCGTCGGTCAGTGTCGTGCCATGTTATCGCATGAGCTGATTGTTTAGTAACTGGTGGTGTTATTAGTGGACATTATAGCGTAACTTGTAGTTCCTTGGTCCTTTTTCTTTTCTATAAATTTATCCTTGGCTCTCTATCCGAGTCCATAACATTAAGGTATTATTCTTATAGCCGCCAACCCCATACTAGTAGCCGATAGCTGTACTTCGAACTGGCCAGGGAGTCTGAGTACAAAACAATTTGGCATTCATGATCTACTGAGTGAAGTATTTGTTGGTGTGGAGCGGCCATGATGATGATGATCACCCGACCGGTCCCTGGCACTGGCAGCATGTAGCTGGCCTGGACCTGGGCGGCTCGTACAACTCCTGTGCTTTCAATAATTATTATTATTCTTGTAGTATGGTCTATACGATATACCGATAGCTTGGTTGGAGACCAGGCTCGGAGTAGGAGTCCTCGAACCTCATCACCAGACGACAGGTCAGCATTCAGCAGTCCTATCAAGTATCATGCATATGTGCGGGCGGAACCATTCTATCAGCAGGACTCAACTCTTTGGTTGGTTGGTTGGTTTTTATTTCACTTCGCACATTCAAACGGGACTTGACGACCCAATAAAATGACGGCGAAGGCTTAGCCTAGAAGTGGCTATGAAAGAACATAGTAAAAGCTATGGAAGCACATAGTAAGAGAATAGGATACTAATAACTGCGGGTAAACGGGGGGAGAGAGAGAGAATACGATGTATCTGTGATACTACGTGCGGGTTACTGAACTGCACGGGGAGGGAGAGCAGAGCAATCAGCAGCAACTCGAACTACTCTCAAGTCAAGAGGTTACACTAGAAGTAGTATAGTGTCGTACGATCGACCTTGCACGGTCAACAAAAGTAATGGTTTGAGTAGTCTACCTCCGATCCGAGCTGCTCCTTTTTCTCGTCGAGGTTAGTCAGTGGTCACCTGTCTAGACGTCTCTTGTCCGTGATCACTGGGAATTATGACGCAGCGTGGTAGCAAAGGCAGCGCTGGCGACCGCCGATCCGGTGGAAGCAGCAGTCAGGGGGCAGGATCTGCTTTCCAAGCGGGATCGAATCGCGCTGGCGTGGCGGAGCCGTCGCCCCGTGGCAAGCGCAGGCTAAGTTTGATACTGGTGGTGATCGTGGTGGTGATCGGTGCTGCTCTGTGGCGCTGGTCGCTGCTGGGTAAAACCATTATGCAAGACGACAGCACCATCGACGTGCCGCAAGACCAGCGAGCAGCAGGCGCGGCGATGCCCATCATCGACGAGGGTGTGCTTCCGGGTGGCTTGGACGAGGGCAAGTTCATAGTTTCCGACTCTTCCGGAAGCAGTGTTGTCGGTGGAGGTGGTCCTGCCGCGAACCGACTGTAGTGCAGGAAGGCACCCATTTCCCGTTACCGCTACTGCGATAGTAAGTGTGGCCGTGTCGTTACAAATCATGGTCGCTTATTGGTTGTCTGCCGAACACTTTCGGACCAACCCAACCCCCACCCCACCCCTTCGAATAATAACGGTGAACAATTCCGAAGTTGAAAACTCAGTCATTGGAGATGTTTTAAAAAAGGTTTCCCATTCCATAGTGTTACACTGCCCAATGTCCAATGAACAAGGTTTGTGAGTATTACCTACTGTAGAACGCCGATTATCCGGACGTCAACTATCATGGGCCAGATGATGAAAGTATCCGGATCGCCTGGTCGGGCTGGACAAAACAAAATTAGGAGATTTTCGAGGTTTTTGCTGATTTTCGCCAATCAGAGCACCATTCGAGCGATGCACAAGATGTTTTACAACAGGTTAGAGTCGAAATGTATCACGGTAGTGTCATTTTGAGAAGCTGAAGTGCGCCTTGTTTCTGTTGTACTGCAGAACAGAATGAAAAATTAATGGCAAAACCATGTGGGAATAGTGCATGTTTTAGATAGATGTGTGACTGCTCCCTTATCTGAACACTGCATGCCCTGCAGCATTGCACATGCACGGCACATGTACAGCATTGCACATGCACGGCACATGTACATGTACATCTACATATGCCGCACTGTGTCAGGCTGTGTTTACACAAGAATGTTCAACCCAGGTTGAAAGTATGTATGGTTGAAAAACAAGCGAGTGTTTACATGAAGATTGTTGACCCGGGTCGACAACTGATATGCTGACAGAAGTCCATTTTTCTAGACTGGCATGGTCGCATGACTACTCTCGTGGGAAATTCCCATCTGCTATGCTGTGCAATCCTGGCGCCATGGTGGGTTGAAACTCGACTCGGGTTGAAAAGTCTCATGTAAACATAGCCTCAGTATGCTCCGGCCATATTCTTCCATGACAGCTATGGCACTGAGCAGCTTATAATTTCTCATGATGAGTGCATACAGCTGTAATGGGCTGCAACAAACTGACCTGCACTGTTCTTCATGTGGCATGATGCTGTGTACTCTGCAGATACGGAGAGGGCTGGTGTCCGCCACTTGTCAAGCCCATGGCCAGCAAAACCGGTGGAACTTGGCTAGCTAATCATAATGTGTACAAGAGCATTGCTTTCGCTCTGAAAAGGTCAGCCTGAAGACTTGACCCACAATCAGTGGCCCAATCAGACAGACATTGGTCCATTTGTCTTGTTTTTGACATCTCTCCGCCTTTCTCTTCTCCAACTTACGGTAACACCCTGTTTGTTTCTTGCGCTGCGGCATATATATGTTCCAACACATACTTCAGCCGTGACAGCCAGTACAACCCTTGCAATGGTTGAACTTGCCATCCAACAGTACTATGTGAATGTGCCGCAGTATGTAAACGTACATACATGGCGCATTTGATTTGTCTCCTCTGACACCTAATATTATTATCACCAAGTTTTCGTAACTCAAACTTAGTGAAAAGTTGGTGTACAAAGTCAAGCATGTGTTTCACACTATGATGAATGATGAGAGCTTACAAGATGTCTGCCTCATCGAGCCCAATGAGATTCCGGCTTCTATGCTGGGTATGTAACTCCCTGTCACACGCTGTGACCCGGCAAGACTCTCCATGTGTATGGCGTGACTGCGATTGGGATTGTGTGTGTGTGTGTGTGTGTGTATGTGCGTGTGTGTGCCTGCGTGTGAGTGTGTGCACCAGTGTGCGTGTGTGCGCACGTGCGCATGTGTGTGTGTGTACGTGTGTGTGTGTGTGTACGTGTGTGTGTGTGTGTGTGTACGTGTGTGTGTGTGTACGTGTGTGTACATGTGTGTGTGTGTGTACATGTGTGTGTGTGTGTGTGTGTGTACATGTGTGTGTGTGTGTACATGTGTGTGTGTGTGTGTACATGTGTGTGTGTGTGTGTGTACGTGTGTGTACATGTGTGTGTGTGTGTGTGTGTGTACATGTGTGTGTGTGTGTGTGTGTACATGTGTGTGTGTGTGTACATGTGTGTGTGTGTGTGTACATGTGTGCGTGTGTACGTGTGTGTGTGTACGTGTGTGTGTGTGTGTACGTGTGTGTGTGTGTGTGTGTGTGACATTGAGAATTGCATGAGTACTGTGTAGTTCATTTCTCTTTCGTCAATTCAAGTTTTGTGGAAATAGTGACGTCATGTGCCAAATCTCTGGCTCTTCCCCATCAAACCATAATGACTCAGAGCTACGGGCATTTCAAAATGGAGTGCTCAGTCCTGGACCGTCCCGATAAGACTGAGAGATACTAGTAAATGTCAATGATTTTCATCAGTGCACAATGCACATGCATGTAACGACATTATGAGCACAAAGCTCCCAGGAGTGTGCAACTAAAATATTACTTGAGCGAGGTATGAAGTAGCTCATTCATGTGCTCTAGAATACCATTTTCTGGTGCATGTATGTTTCATGCATGTGTGATGGTTGGGTGAAGAAGAGAAGCAGAAGGTAACAAGAGGAACCTGCCATATTAATTACTAGGCATTAGTGGTGAAACGAATATTCGAATATTCGAACATTCGTTCGGTTTGGCACATTCGAATATTCGTTAAGTCACATTCGAGTATTCGTTACGTCACTTCGAATTCAGTGCCTGTACATACATGGACGACGAACACGGTACAGTGCAGTGCGCACAGCCTGCCTGTGACTTTGTACTGCATGCATGCACATGTATGTCCATACTGGACTGCCAATGTTGCACATAACATTTATGAACTTCGAAGTAGCCTTATGTGGCAGTATATTTTACGCGGCACTACCGTTTGTCATACCTAATAATATATTAGTATTGACAATATCCATCAAATGACTGAGAGGAGGGCATGTGATGTCATCTGTGTTACCAAAAGAATATTCGTTCATTCGTTCGTTAAGCTGAAGAATATTCGACTAGTAGGTTTTGACATTCGTTTCACCACTACTAGGCATACATGTATACGCTTTGTATGGTTCTGCCAATCACACTGCTTTTCGAGCAGAGTCTGCCGAGCCGAGCATTGTCCAACAAGGTCAAATAGTAATACCAAGAGTAAAATTGCCCCCCCCCCTCCCCCGGAGCTTATGTACTCCTGGTATTACTGGTACCTGTATGTACATTGTAGTAGTGATATCGACCCGGTGGTTATACCGTACTCGGCATACCGAGTCCCTATGTCACGCCCAGCACCGATGCACGGTCGCGATGAGTTGCAATGTGCCTTCAATGTGCACGTTCGTTTGCATTCTTCATCGTTTGTGAGAATTATACCTGGTATTGCGAAGGCATTCACCTGCTTTGTCTGGTGAAGTAAAAATAATAAACAACAACAGCAGTGTATCGACCCACGTGTACATAGCCACGCGTACATAGCCTATGTACACGTGGGCATGGATCATGCATGTATTTAAAAAATTAAATTTTTATATCTAGTCTGGTTGCAAATCCGACCTCATAAAAATTACCGTAAATAGTACAATGTACATTACCTTGTAGTACTAGTAGAGGCGCGCGCGCAGTACAGCCTATTTCATTTTGTCACCACGTGCATGCTGGACGGTACGGCGGTACGCGGTATGCAGGACGAGTACTATACTGTCAGGCAGGTTGTACCCGACGTCAGGGTATGCACGCGTTTTCTTAGCTGTAGTTTTCGGTGGATTTTTCGGTAGTTTTTCCAGCTTCGGCGCGCCTCTCCGGCAAACCAGCCGATGCAGAGTGCCACTTGTTGCCGGTGCAATGGAAACGGCACCTGCGTCCGATGCGAGTGCCACAAGGAGGGTCGAGGATGCAGGAATTGCCTCCCCTCAAGGAAAAACCGATGCCGGAACGGCAACAGCCAACCGTCATCCCAACAACCGCCCACAGCGTCAGGGACCCGTACCGTACCGACGTTCGAGCCAGCTCCTGCGGCTAGGCTAGGCTTTTCCACAATTATGTTTTGCATAATTTTTGCATCTTGGGGGTAAAAATGAATCCCCGTTGTAAAAATGCATCTTTAGTGATTTTTGCAAGATTTTCTTCAAAAACAACAACGTTTGCGTGGTTTTTGCCAGATTTTCTTCAAAATTAACAAATTTGGCGTGATTTTGCCAGATTTTCTTCAAAAACAACAAGTTCAAGTTGCAAGTGTTAGCTAAACTTTAGCCTACAGGCTTTTTCTTCTGCTGGCAAGACTTGACCTTGCCCCGCACCTGACGTAACCTGGCTCTTGTCAGTCTCGAAATATGCCCAGCACTGGGGCAGGCAGGCGGCGCGCGGCAGTGCATGATGATGTGCATGCATGCACAGGTACTAGGTAGATCTACATGTCCTGTATACTCTAGTAGTGTAGGGTTCCCTGAGCTGATGCCAACATGTACATGCTTCGAATCAGGGAGTCGTAAAATACCGGTATTTTACGACTCCCTGCTTCGAATGAATTTGGCAGCCATCTTGTTGCCATGGCAACAGGTGAATAATTTTCGCACATTGGGTGATTTTTTGATTTTTTTAAGATTTTTTTCAAATCTATCCATTTTTGAGAATAACATCATTCCCCAAAAAAATCGAGTTTTACATCCACATCTTTCCAATATTTTTTCGAATAATGTGGAAAAGCCTACCTGCGGCCCAACTGCCATCCACGGGAGCCCGCACAGCAAGCGAGGCGGCAGTAGGTCAAACTGGTGCTAGTATGCATGCTGACGATGTCATACAGCGTGATGTGACAACGAGGCCGGCTACCACAACTGAGACCCCAGATCAGAGTCACTCGCCCGTTTCTAGCTCTCAACAGCTAGCGTGGGACCTGCTCGAGGCTGCGGACCCTGGAACGACCTGTAGAGGCGACGGTTTCAAATAGGAAATAGGTTGCAAACCGGAACGGACTCAATATTCACTTTCTCTCTTGGTATTTTGATTAGAAAACATATGTCACAGTGAGACTACGATGTGTTATACTCCGAGCCAAAATTTCATGGCTCTGCGATGACCAGAAGCGCCATATCAAGCAGGTGAGTTTTTGACGTGTTGCTTCGCACTGCGACTTGAGTTTTACGACTTTCGAAAAATCAACTTCTTGTCGCAGGTAAACAGCGGCTCGCCTCTCGACAATAAAGCACCGCATACCAATCAAAACTAATGGAAGCACACGCAAGGCTTATTGTTACTCTGTACTGGCCGTCGTGGAGCGATAGCAATTACCTAATTTCAGACCCAGAGTGAATTTGACGGGCACTCTAAAACGTGTCCGGTTTGGAGCCACCTCTGATTTGAACTTTTTTGAAGCGAAAAATTGGGCAACTTGGAGGCAATGGGTCAACACAAAGGAGTGGCTCAGTTCGATTGACTCTGGCCCCAGAGCAAACTTCAACATGCCAGTTTCCTTCCACAAACATATTTCGAGTGAAAAATCAACGTTGATGATCGTTTTGGGTCTATACAAATTTGGCTGTCAAAACGTTCCGGTATCGAGCCGTCTCCTCTACCAGGTGTCGGGACCTAGTGACTTCCGCGACAGCGGAGGATATATCAGTGTCCGACAGTCAAGTGCAACTGCTTGCCTCCCTGGACGAAAATCTGGAGACGGAACAGTCGACTTCTCAACCATACACACACCACGCACCGACACCTGTCCAGCATCCTACCGCCCCACTCACGACCAGCCTAGAGGGTGTCGAAGACCCCAGCGACACAGGTACCACTCACGCACTGCCTCCGTAGTCTACCAAGCAGCATGTCATGACCTTCGGATAGGTAGCTGGAGCGCGCAGGAAACTCATCAGATCATTACATCTGCCTACTCGGAGACAGTCCACTTTCGGCCCAACCTCTTTCCAGTGCCCTCAGGATCCGTTGGCTCACGGTTGGTCCGCACACTCACTCTGTACTACAAGATATTCGGTGACAAGGCAGCAGGTGAAGGATTAGCGTTGAAAGCAGCCATGACAGTCACACAGTTAACCCTGCAGCAACCACATCGAGTCCTCGACCGACAAGCACATGTCGAATGCCTCCGAAGACGACTCACCCTCTGGGAAGAAGGCGACATTGATGCACTGATGATGGAAGCCAGAACAATTCAACGGCAGCTAGTGGCGGCCACAAAGGGGTCAAAGTCCAGCAAACAATCAGAGGACGATGCTCGAAGATTCGCCAACCTAGTACACACGGGCAAGACTGGTGCAGCTATGCGCATGCTGAAAGAGACACCCGACAGTGGCCCCATGCGTCTGGATGATAAAGTTGGCAATCAAACTGTCCGTGACATCCTAAAGGACAAACATCCTGCCGCTCAGCCAGTCGACCTGTCAGCTGTGATGGACGGACCAGTGCCCCCCACACCTCACCACATTATGTTCGCTGCCCTGGATCGAACTATGATCCGGAAGGCTGCCCTGCAGACAGAAGGAGCTGCTGGCCCATCAGGCATGGACGCATCTGGGTGGCGACGGATGTGCTCAGCTTTCGGCCAAAACTCAGACCAGCTCTGCGATGCCGTAGCATCATGTGCAAGAAGACTCGCAACCTCCGCGGTGGACCCGGCTTCACTGGAAGCCTATGTGGCGTGCCGACTCATAGCGCTCGACAAGCAGCCAGGCGTCAGACCCATTGGGATCGGCGAGGTCGTTCGAAGGATAGTTGGAAAAGCCATTCTCTACATCACCGGGCCTGCAGTTGAAGCCGCGACCGGTTGCACCCAGCTGTGCGCAGGCCAGGAAGGAGGCATCGAAGCAGCCATACACGCCATGCGCACTGCCTTCGCCGACGAGGCAACAGAGGGTGCCTTGTTTGCCGACGCTTCCAATGCATTTAATCGCATCAACCGGGACGTATGCCTGCGCAATGTCCAATGCCTGTGTCCTGAGCTGGCGACAACTCTTGTCAACACATACCGAAGCCCTGCCCAGCTATTTGTGGATGGCGAGACAGTGTGGTCTTGTGAGGGCACCACCCAAGGGGACCCGCTCGCCATGGCCATGTACGCTATCGCCACAATCCCCCTCATTGAAGAATGCCGTAGCAGTGGAGCCACCCAGAGTTGGTACGCCGATGACGCTACAGCAGCGTCAACACTGCTGCCACTTCGCCACTGGTGGGACATCCTATCGCAGCGCGGTGAGGCCTATGGATACTTCCTCAACCCGGAGAAATCCGTACTACTAGTGAAGCCTGCACATCTCGAGCGTGCCACTGAATTGTTCGCTGACACACGTATCCAAGTCCGCTCAGATGGGTACCGACATCTAGGTGCAGCACTCGGCACCCCGGAATTTGTAGCGGCTTATGTCACGGGCAAGGTGAACACATGGTGCAAGGAGGTTGACAAGCTGTCTACATTTGCCCACTCCCAGCCGCATGCAGCGTATTCCACCTTTACGCACGGTCTACGGCATCGCTGGGCATTTGTTGCCAGGACAGTACCCAACACAGCTACCCTGCTGGAGCCCTTGGAGCAGACGGTTGTACACCTGCTACTCCCAGCCCTCCTCGGTCGCCCCTCTCCAGGCTCTGCCGAACGGAAGATCCTGGCTCTACCATGTCGCTTGGGTGGCCTGGGACTAATCATCGTCTCTTCGTTAGCAGAACAGTTCCATTCATCCTGCCACATCACCCAAACGCTGGTTGAGGGAATCCTCTCTGGCATGTCCTACCTGCCCGACGTCACGCAGCTTACGCTGCACAGGAAGTCCGAAGTCCGCAGCCGACAGCGGAATAAGGAGTCAACCATCGCCAAGGATGTCGTCTCAGCCGCTTCACAGGAATTGCAGCGTTGTGTGGAGCTTGCTTCGCTGAAGGGGGCCTCCAATTGGCTCACGTGCCGGCCACTGAAAGTCCACGGCTTTTCCCTCAGCAAGGCTGGCTTTCGCGACGCCATCCATGTTCGCTATGGCTGGGTCCCCCCAATGCTGCCGTCCGCCTGCGTCTGTGGTCAGGCATTCAGCACCGCGCATGCCCTGTCGTGCCCTATTGGAGGGTATCCGTCACTCCGGCATAACGAGCTGCGAGACATCACCGCCTCACTGCTTTCACGCGTCGCACATGACGTAAGTGTGGAGCCGTCTCTCCAGCCACTTTCCGGGGAACGGATGAGGTATCGTACTGCAATCAGCGAGGATGGCGCCCGCCTAGATGTTGCTGCCAGCGGGGTGTGGGGCGGCCGTTTCGAGAGGACATTCTTTGATGTCCGGGTATTTAACCCTTTTGTCCGATCGAACACCGCTCCCTCCCTCAACAGCACGTTCACTAAGCACGAGAAGGAGAAACGGCGACACTATGAAGAGCGTGTTAGGGAAGTAGAGAAGGCATCGTTCGTCCCCTTGGTGTTTTGTGCCTCCGGTGGTCAAGGCAAGGCTGCCTCTGCTTTCCTCAAACGCATTGCATCAATGCTGGCCGAGAAGCGGAAGGAACCGTTCTCCATGGTGATGGCTCACCTCCGTTGCCGCCTAGGGTTTGCCCTCATCAGATCGGCGATTGCAAGCTTAAGAGGTCATCGATCCAGGCGAGCACCTTTGGATCAGCAGCTGGAGTGCCCCTCAGCTCTAGTGAATGCTGAGTGTCGTCTGGGTTAACCCTCAACTCTTGTTATATGGCTGTATTGTTTTCGCTATTAAAGTATTAGTTAGTTTTCTTTGTTATGATTTCTTTTTTCTTTTTCTTTTTACCAGGCGTGGGCCATCCCCTGAATTCATAGGTGCCAAACATTCTTTTTTCTTTAGTTTTCTTTGTTATGATTTCTTTTTCTTTTTACCAGGCGTGGGCCATCCCCTGAATTCATAGGTGCCAGACATTCTTTTTTCTTTCTTTTTCTTTTTACCAGGCGCCGGCCATCCCCTGAATTCAAAAAATAAATAAAATTAAAAAAGTTCCTACGAACTCACCTTTTAGGGCGCGCACTCACATTAGAGAGGTTAAGATGCACGTTATTTCCGACGTGACGCGCAATTTCACGTCAAATTTGGCGTAAAACTCCAAATTTCGACGTGAGCAGCAGGTCGCTCGCGTTGATTTTTCGACGTGCGAGCAAATAACGCGAGCTGAACTTTCGCGTCACGTCGGAAATAACGTGCATCTTAACCTCTCTATTCACTCGACTATACTGTCAGGCAGATTTATGCAGAATCGAGAAATCTCGACTTGACATTCTCGACACGTAGACCATGTAGACCTACCCGTACAGTCAGTACACCATGGTACACATGGTACAGCTGGTGGAAAGCAATGCATGTGTCAGAAAATTGATAGTTTGTTTCGTGGATTGTATCATTCTCGTCCGACCTGCCCTGCGTCTCTTTTTGGATAGCTGGAAAAAGCTCCTGCTCGTTCTGGAAGTAGTTATGGTGTTGTAATTCAGAAGACAAGCCATGGAGAGCTCAGAACCTGCAGGTGATTGTTGCTTTCCTGATAGTACAATTTTGAAACAATCAATACATGCAATTATCCAATTGAGTTTGTGACTTCATATCGTGTCGACATTTCTCCTCTTTCCGTGCGCTGTGTGCCGTAGTGAATATAAATGACATAGAGAAGGCCACGGAGGCAGACGAGGATGGCTTTCACTCAGTTAGGTGAGAAAAACGCTGCCATGAATTCTGAAATCAAGCAAAATTTAATATTGATTGAGAGTTGGTACGAGAAATTCAATAGACTATGTACGATGTGGCATGGGGTCCACTATCCACACTGTAACAGTTGGGCCATGCCACCTTTTGATGAGCCACCTTTGGTATATTTATTAATTGTTTTGCTCATCGTTTGTCTGGTCTTTGTTATTTATTTACTCTCGTGCATTACTTACAGCAATGACTGGAGTGTATTGTTCGGAGGAAAGGACTTTGCAGCCAAGGTACTGTTTGTTGTTCGGGTATCAATTGAAGCCGAAATATCAAATGATTCTCAAACCAAAATGCGGCATTGCCATAATATTATTTTACTATCAATTCCCTCAGACTACATGTACTGCATTTTTTTTACGAACTCAGAAGCAATAACTCCGGCAGTAATCGCAAGAGTACATAAACCAGAGTGTGCAGCTCCGGGAAAATCGTACGCGGCGAAGTTTTGTTTTGCTTAGGTCATAGTGACTCACCTTTGCTGCATCACACACCAGTACACATGGTCAAGTTACCGTATCACCAAGGTAATTTCTGTTGTGCATCGCTGCTTGCCGTACGAAAGATAGAACACGGACGCGTCTCTCGTTTTCACCTTAGTGATGCGGTGAGTTAGCACTGAACCTACATGATGACAGGTCTCTATGATTCATGATGGTCTAAACAACAAAAAACTTCGCTGTGGGGTCGGTTTTTTTGCAGTATAGATTCGGAGCTGCACGCTTTGTGGTTTATGTACTCTTGGTAATGGTAGACAACGTCGGTTGCTCGTATGTGTAGCTCACGCTTCCTGCCGAACTTTATACTTGGCTGACTCCCGACTGCCATCCGAAGCACACGAGTGTGGTAAACCGTCTAGTTGGCAAGACTGGAAGAAAGTATCACTCCCTGCTCAGTGCACAGTGTTTTGGGGAATTCACCCCGCATCATTGGGGAACACTGTGTATTGAGCAGGGATTATTAAATCAGCTTAGGTGGTGATGCACTGTAAAGCAACATAACTTTTGGCACAGAAATATAGCCATGCACACTTCTGGCTATTATAATTATTTCTGTAAGACCACTGCTATAAGATTTAACGTCATCGTAACGTACGATTTATTCGTTAAGTTTAGGTGTTCATTAGGGTTATGGAGTTATGATGCTGTCGCTGTCGCCGTTGTCCTGTTTTTTTTTTTGTCCTTGTTGGTCTCGTTTCAGATCAGAAAGCTTGGTGTTCAAGGGCACCTGAGAGGATGCTGCTTTCGCAGTGTGTGCTGGAAAGTAAGTACTGCACTTTCAATTCCTAACGTTCCTGTGCTGCAGTAAAGTGTTACGAATGATAGTTGAACAAACAGAGTACAAGAAACGCACTTTCATAGTCAGTCCATGGGGGCCAGGCTTGGCAGAGTTGGGTTAGTCTTTCAGAGTGCGTTGTCTCTGTAGCGGAGTTGAGGCTTCAGTAAGAGGCCAGGCCTCATGCCATCATGAGATTCCCATCTCTTCGCTGGAGGAGCTGGCATGTGCTCAATATAATCAGGTGGCCCATGGCTATGTTTCGTTTGGGGCTGTGTAGATTTGCTTCTGAATAGTTTTTCCTGATTGTAGCAATTTCTTCTGTTCTTGTTCGATTTGAGTAATGTGTTGGCTGCTGCTGCTGCTGCTCTTTGTTCTTTGTGTTTCAGGTATACCTTGATGTCTTACCAGAAGACCGTTCAAGCTGGGTAGATGCCATGAGAGAGAAGCGCCGTGGGTATGCCAAGATCAAGCAGGAGGTGTGTAGATGTCTTCTTGTATTTTAATTGCGATATGGTGTCTTCAGTGCAATATGGTCAAAATGATGATCAGGCTGACTGGATTTGAATTTTTCTACAGTTCTGGTGCAACAATTTCGCACACAGTACTGCAGATTCAAAGGCAATGCCCAGCTGATTCCAAGTTCAGGGTTATGTGGCGTGGGCAACGAGCCACACTGGACCCTATGTGAAAGGTTGCATGCTTGTGCGGGTTATGACCTAAGAGGAGGTGACCTAAGAGGTCATAACCCCGCAAGCATACTTTTTATCGTCTTTTTATGTGATTGACTTGCTCGCTGTCTCCTTTCCCTTTCTTTCTCCCTGTTTTTCTTTCCAGTTCCTGGATGACCCACGTGATAAGGCTGCTGCTTCGGATGCAACATTCAACAATCCGCTTTCTCTTGATACTGAGGTTAGGCAGTTGTTTGTGCACTGCCCACACACACACTGATCGAGTCTGCATCCTCGCTGACTCTCATCTCCAGCGCCTTTTGCCTTTATTTGCAAGTAGCCGAGACACGGTTTGATCGTGGAGATCGCCAAATTTTTCGCTCGGACTGTGAACTTGACGACCTGCACGGTGGCGCTGGTAGCTGTTGTCTCCGCCACTCTCCAGAATGCCATGGAAGGAACCATACAGACACAACCAAACGCTCCTCATCTTGGCAGCGGGGTACTCGTGCCAGCACGTTTCCACAGCTTGCAGGAGCTCCTTTCTGGTGTCGTTCGCCACGAGTGACACGGCTGTCTGCAGGCTGTGGAAGAACGCCAAGCCGTCGACGTTGAGATCTGGACTTTGCACCGGCTGAACCCAGCAAGTGGTGTGCGTGTCGCAGGTCCCATTCGGGTCAAACATTTTCGAAGGCGATTTTGATGGACTGTGCAAGGTCGATGGCGGATAGGACTTTCAAATCGAGGTTCGATTGCATACATGATGTCAGTCGGTTTCTTCACAATTTCCCACGGTCCCGACCAATATTTGAAGAATTTAGGCGACACTTGGGGCGACAGATGTCGATGTAGCGAAGCATGTTCACCTACATTCAATGTGCTAGTTCGAGATTTTCGATCGTGACGGATTTAGAACAACATTGAACCGCAACATCCTCAATTTTAATAGCTAGCTGATACACCACAATACCAACTTGAAGCGGATGATCAAGTTTCACTTGTCGCTTACGAATTCCAATTTGCGTTGTGTCGCCTTCAAAGTCACCAACCTCGAAATGGCGGTAAACATTGTGGTGAACTTTGCAGTTTAGAGATTGTTGTATGGGCACGCTTGTATTTACCACCATATTTCTACTTTGATTCGGCTTACCTTCCTTACAGTTCTTTTATTCCCCACATGCTATGTCTGGTGCTCTGCAATAGTTTTGTCTTTGTTTTGTTTTGTTTTGTGTCCTTCGATGCAGAGTCCATGGAACCAGTTCTTCCAGGACGAGGAGCTCAAGAAGACTATTACGCAGGATGTTGATAGGACGTATGTTCCCTCCTCTGTGTGTGTGTGCGTGTGTGTGTGTGTGTGCGTGCGTGTGTGTGTGTGTGCGTGTGTGCGTGCCTGCTTGCGTGTGTATGTGTGTGCGTGCCTGTGTGTGTGTGCCTGTGTGTGCGTGCCTGCGTGTGTGTGTGTGTGTGTGTGTGTGCGTGTGTGTATGTGTGTGTATGTGCATGCTTGCGTGTGTGTGCATGTGTGTATGCGCGTTCTGATTTGGGTGCTCCTTGTTGTTTGGATATGTTTCCCGTAGGACTGTTTTCACTTTTTCCTTGCTGGCTGTGCTAAATGCTTCACCGTTTGATGTAGCTCGTTGTCTTTCGATGTTGTTGTTTGAAATCTTTATTCTCGCGATGTTGTTGTTGTTGTTGTTGTTGTTGTTGTTGTTGTTGTTGTTGTTGTTGTTGTTGTTGTTGTTGTTGTCGGCACTGTCGTTAAATTTGGGGTATTTGCTGTCATATGTCTGCAGACATCCTGACATGGATTTCTTCCAGCTAGAGAGGATCAAGTGAGTATCTCCATATTGTCCTTCTCATGCAATGCACCCATTTCACTGTTGATGCACTTACATTCGGGGTTGGTTGGGTAGGTGTGGTGTGGGCGTACATGTATGAGCTGTTTGTGAACCTTTGGGGCAGAAGGAGCTGTGCTCCTCTTTGCGGGCTCGCTGTGTCTGTCTGCCCCCCCCCCCCCCCTCTCTCTATCACTCTCTCTCTCTCTCTCTCTCTCTCTCTCTCTCTCTCTCTCTCTCTCTCTCTCTCTCTCTCATTTGCAGAGAAGTGTCAAATGTGTCTGTATGTTGTGTCTGATTTGATGGTGATTGCCTCTCATCCTTTGTCACTGCAGAGAAATCATGTCCAATGTTCTGTTCTGTTTCGCTCGTGCTCATATGGACCTTGGATACCGGCAGGTTAGATTGCAGCTATGTGTATTGTGTATTCATGTATAAATGTGTGAGTGCGTGTGTTTGCGTTTAAGGAATGGTAGCTGTACAAACTCATCTTCCTTCTATGATATTTGGGAAATGTACCTGTTGAAAGCGATCATTATTGCCATGTATGTGTGTAATAGCAGCAGATCCATCTTGGTTTTTCTTGTTTTTCACTTGTACGTACCAGGGCATTCATGAACTGCTTGCACCCATCATATTTGTCTTGGACTCTGACAAGCGTGACAAGGACACGGTGCCCGTTGACCAGAGCTAGTGAGTAGCAGCACTCCAGTTGGCGTATGAACTATACATGTACACATTGTCTTGACCCATTTTGATGCACGGTGCATGGTCGATGCTGAAGAGGACTATCACATCGAGGTTCAATTGCATACCGTTATGTCGCTTATAAAAGCAGGTGCTTGCGGCCGTATAAGCCGGGGTTCAAACCATGTTCTGCGTCAACATCATCAGTCTACACTGTGCAGTGCTTGCTGCCACGCATGTGCTGTGCAAGTACTTGCACATATATTTTGCAGAGAGCGGCTTCTATTCTAATCGTGCTTCTATGTCACGGCACGCTTCAAAAATCAGCTTATATTTGAGTCGTGCTTTTGTACAGGTCATGCTTTTATACGCGACACTACAGTATGTGACAGAGCCACAGGCATGCCCATACCCAACCACCCCCACACACCTGCACACACACACACACACACACACACACACACACACACCTGCACACACACACACACACACACACACACACACACACACACACACACACACACACACACACACACACACACACACGAGCACACACGAGCACACACAGACACGAGCACACACAAACACGAGCACATACAAACACGAGCACATACAAACACGAGCACGCACACACACGAGCACACACACACACACGCTTCCAGCTGCGTAGTGATGGGCAGCATTAGGGAGAGTGTGACATACGATTGCCCGCTGGCAATCTTGGTTGCAAGCTCAAACAGCTTGAGAATGGTGGCAAGGTGCTCAACTGCGGCCCATTGCTGGTCCTTCAGCTGAAGGTCACGGTGCTCTTTCTTGGGAGTGCAGCTGCTACACAAAGTCACGATCTCACCTTGGTCTGTGAATCATATTAAGACTGGTGAAATGACTGCTTGCAGGGAGCATTGGCAAGCTTGACACCTGGGAGGCTGGCTGGAGGTTGGCTTAGTTGGTTGGGAGAGCTGGCGCCGGCTCAGGCACAGGGTTTCGGCACCATATCCGAATCAGAAACTCTCCAATGGCGCTTGGTGTCATATCTTGACGACTTGCCAATCCATCAGCAAGAATATCCTCCAACTCGTGCCTCGGTGTGAAGCACTGTATTTGCTGATCTCAATCTGCCGCTCTGATGACACACGGAGTAAAAGGAATACATTCCAGTATACTGGCTGCTGGGGTTGGTGTGAGGACAGGTCCTCCTCATCAACCGGCAGGATAAACGGCGTGTCAGTTGTCGTCTAACGGATTGTTGTGCTACATCTGGAGGTACTCATACTGGCTGATAAAGAGACTACAGTTGAATGAGTGGCTAATCCTCTATGCATTCGGTTCTAATGTCAATAGATTGATGAGGTTAAAAGTCATCCTGAATGTAGGTGACGACCCTGCTACACACTTCCTCGTTATCCAACAGCTTTTCAGGTCAGCGATCCCTATTTCATGGCGCTTGCGCAGCAGCGAACTGAAGTGATTCTGCGACGGGATAGTGAAGCCAGGCTCCACACACTTCATCAGAGCAACAAACCAACGATCGCCAGCCATGGACAGTGGTCTTGTGGAGTCCACAATCCAATCGAGAATCAAGTCGGCGAGCTCCTCGGAGCGGCCGGACGAACAGGGGCGATTGGTGGAAGTTGCCGAGCTCACAACCCAACTCGACAAGCTGCTGCGCTTGTCCGCTGCCACCGATGACGCATTGCTAACATCTGACTCAGTCGTCGCACCTGAGGGGTGAACTAATTGGAACTTTGAAGGGTGAGCCGATTTCAGACGAGCGAACAGGTTGCTGGCTCCGCTTTTCCTAGGGTAAGTCTCTTTTTTACAAAGTTGACATGTGTGCTTCTCCACACCGCGCTCAAAATACGTCTCCAGACACCAGACCTTGCTTGCCTGGAAAACGCCATGGCAGACGATACCTGCAATAAAACTACAAGTGTCAGGGAGAAGATCAGTCCGTCAGTCTTCACCTCATTACCTGGTGCAACTATTATATCTGTACGACTGTAGCGAAATGAATTCGCCTTACCATGTGCACTGCGACCATACACTGTACTGTGCTACAGGTCTACTCTCCATATAACGTAATCTCTGGCACCACGCAAAATTATGTTATATCGAGAGTTATGTTATGTAGAAAACCGTGTGTAAAGTGCGAGATGTAACTCAAAATGAAGGGTTTTACAAGGCGGATTCAACCGTGCAAACATATACACACTGTACCACCATCAACATCAGATACCATCAATGCCGCAGAATATATGCACAATAGGACTTAACTGGCTAGCTACGGCTACAGCTTGATTGAACCGCGCACGTTAATCTACGTTGTATCGAGAGTGCGCACGTCGGGGACCGTGCCATAGGGTGCGTTATGCTGAGGTTTACGTTATGTAGGACTAAACTGGCCTAAACTGCCTAGCTACAGCTACCGCTTGATCGTACCGTGCACGTGAATTTGCGTTGTATTGAGAGTGCGCACTTCGGGGACCGCGCCGTAGCGTGTGTTGTGTCAAGGTTTATGTTATGTAGGATTACGTTGTGTAGTACAAAATTTGTATGGGAGTGATGCTGTTTCGGCGTGTGATTTGATTTTTTACGTACTAGCGAGGTTTACGTACAAGTGAGAGTTGTTATATCGAGAGCAGACCTGTACACTGTACTGCTGAATACGATCGACTGTAGGACCCTGTACAACCTTACCTTGCGATGAGCACTGAACACGCACCACGCACACAACGTTCAGTTCACAGTCGGTACAGTCGAATCATGCTAGTTTACACGGTACGGTGCACTGCGGAACGCGTGAGCGCGCGGTCTACATCTACTCGTGTCTACAGCACACTGCACGTCGTGGCCAGTCACACTCGCACGGTTTACTGACTTTACAGCAAAAATTAGTGAGAAGGGCCCCACACCCGATCCATGATGGATGAATAGTATTAATATTTACACTCTCATCGTCGAAATATGTACTCATTCAAGCCAGTAGCGAGTAAAAATACTAGCTTGTTATATCTTCAAACGAGTAAATAACGAGTAATCGGTATAATCGTTTCACCCCTAAGTTAAACGAACGCTGTAACTTTGCAATATTGGCGCCTGGCAATGGCTCGAACCCACGACCCATCGTACCCCGCGAGTAGGTACGGTGTGAGGACGCAGCCTGTTGGGGAAGGGGAGCAGTGTGGCAAGAAAGGGGCCGCGGGTGTTTGGTCCCCGGTAGCCTGATCGGTACGGCACTTTTCCCGGAAAGACAGGGTACTGAAAGACAATAGTCCTGGAGGCGAGTCCCGCTCGTGGCCCCTTCTTTTGGAACACTATGGCAAGTATGGTCTTCATTTTCTATGGTCCCCATGAAATGAGTTCCTTTTATCGTGTCCACCATGTGTGTATTCACGTACGTGCACTGTCTGCATGTATCTCTACGTACACGTGTGTGCATGTGTCATGTGTGTGGGTGGGTGTGTGCATTTGCATGCTGCAGTGCTGAAGAGATGCTGGTAATCTTGGATGGACAGTCTCTGGAAGCCGACGCCTAGTAAGTCTCCAACCGTCGTGGCACTGTGTTTTCCTCAGGTTCACCTTTTGCAGTATGCTTTCCAAGAAACTAATATCTCGACTTGCATCCAGCTTGCTGAAGAAAATATGTCTGCTCACCGGCCTTAGTGCATGGTGTGACCTCATCTTACCAACGGTTGTTGTACTGGTCTTCGTTCGTCATTAGTTATTGAATGAAGTTTGCACACTGCGTTCCTCAATCAACAGCTAAGTATATTACCTGTGTGTGCACGTGTGTGCAGTGTGTTATTGGCCGCCCTGATGGAGACCTGTTCAGAGTGGTATGAGCATGGGCCGGCGGACTTACCATCCAACAAGAAAGGCTCGGCGGTGCTGGTCGAGTCTAAGCTTTTTCAGAGTGAAGAAGATGCCAATCCGGTGAGTGGCTGTATAACTATTAGGACTAGGGTAGAGGTTACTTCCACGTCTCTTCTTGTGTGAAATGATGTAGTGCGTGTAATACCTGGCTGATCAATGCATGCCGGTGTGTCGACGTGATTTGCTACTATAGTTATTTTAACACTGTCCCTTGTTCTCTGGTGTGGGAAATTAAATGTGTCACAGATGCTCGATCCCAGTGTTTTCTCTGGGCCACGGTGGCAATCATGAGAGCCAGATGACTTTGTAACTGTTAATGCTTTTTCCCTGGTTATGGTTTATTTATACAAGAGAGAGTTTGGAAGCTTTGTTACAACTCTGAGTTTCACGTATTACTACGATCATCAGGCCACTTTTTTTTTGGTTTATTTATATGAATATTATTTATAGTAGTTGTGCTGTGTGTGTATATTGTGTATCCTTTGGTAATTCTCGGAAACTTTCGTAGTGTGGTGTTCTCATTTATGATGTTATTCCTCATGCTCTTCACCAGTCCTCTGCCGTTGTTCGCAAAATGGAGCGAATCCAGCAGGTGTTGATCAGAAAGGAGGATCCTGAACTTCACTCGCACCTTTCCAAGCTAGCAATTCCACCGCAGATATTCGGACTGTAAGTCTAGTATGTACATGGACAATCTCTCTGGTCATCATGAAGTGGGATTGAATGCAAATGTAATATTGACTCGTTTCATGGGATGCCCATATCTGTTTGCATCAGTGTCTACACGAAACAAGACAGTCATGTAGCCATGGCTTTACTGAACAGAACTCATCTAGATAGATCCAATGGGCTTTTCACGGGTCACTTGTGTGTCAAGTCAAGCCAGCAGGGAAGGCATGAGTTCCTGTGTAGGGAGCAACGCACAATAGAGAGGTTAAGAGGCACGTTATTTCCGACGTGACGCGCAATTTCACGTCAAATTTGGCGTAAAACTCCAAATTTCGACGTGAGCAGCAGGTCACTCGCGTTGATTTTTCGACGTGCGACCCAAATAACACGAGCTGAACTTTCGCGTCACGTCAGAAATAACGTGCATCTTAACCTCTCTAATGTCCATGTAGAGAGTGTGTTATCTCTCCAGCCAGAAGGGTGTAAAATGTGTACTTTTACTTCATCACACAGCTTGCTTTGTGAATGGCATTAATGCTTGTACTTTTTGCTTACTATGTCGTTTGCAAGGTAATTGTATGATTGCTCTTTCCTTTGCGATCTTCTATTTTCTCTAGTCGGTGGATTCGTCTGCTCTTTGCTCGAGAGTTTGCTCTATTGGACATTCTGATCTTGTGGGATGCGATATTCGCTCATAGTCAATACTTAGAGCTGGTGGACAGTGTTGCGTTGGCCATGCTTCTGTTCATCCGAGCACCGCGTAAGTACCAGAGTGTGCATGTCCCGGTGGTGTCATAATGTTGGGGGTGGGGGTATTATTTTTGGTATGGTGAGTACTGTAAGACATGTATATATAACGAGGAAGCAAATCTAACGTTTTAACGGACGACATTTCTTCGTTATAATAAGATCCGTTGAAGCCGTACTGCTTCATATATGCTGTGTGTGGATATGGCAGAATACTGCAAGATCGTTAACATATCTTCTCGTTAACCTATGAATTTTGGACAATCGTTAAATTTGCGACTCGTTATAATAACATGTCTTACAGTAGTGGCGTATCCTCGTTACAACTGGCTATGCAATAGATGATATGCCAAATAAGCGCTCGAAAAGTTGAGAGGGCATGCGATTGATGCTCCCAGGCTTAGCTTGTCAAGTGCACGGGATGTGCAAAGTACACGGATTTTAGGCTTGCTGCGCGCTTACGCGATCAGGTGCTGCACGTGCATGAATGGAATGCATGCAGTTCCACTGTTACCGCATTTTAGCATTCCGCCGGAGAAAATATTCGGATGGAGAAAAGGAACTCTGACACCTTTGTGCATAGTTTGCTTTCAATTTTTCATTTTGATACCCGGATATGGCAGCAAGAAATAGTACACCAGCAATTGCTTCTCGTTTTGCGAACCCAGCTGTGGGCGAAACGATTGCTAGATGGACTTTTGCTCAGCTGAAGACTAACGTGAGTGAGAGATACCGGTAGATGGAAAGCGAGATGATTTGTTGCAGAGGTAAGACCGAAAGATTTTATTTTATTCCCAACGCCCCAGAGCCTAAGACAGGGGACAATGATGGCAGTCGGCGCCGAGCAGCGAAAGGGCGATGAAAATCCGTTCCTCCTTCACTGGTCGCTACAGCAGCAAATACCTTGACACCATCTGCATCGGGAACAGAAGAAGCTGCTTCTCCGGTGAAGAAAAAAAGTGACAAAAAAACAGACGCAGAATTTCCCGCCGAGGCCTGGACCCATCGCTCGGAGGATTAGCTATGTAGTGTTTCTGCTAGTGCTGTACTCCAGCATCTTCAGAATCGAGAAAGGTACCTAACGACACAGAAACCATTCGGGGATGAGTCCTTCTTCTCGCCATTCGTTTACAGTGTTGAGTGTTGCTTCCCAGAGCCAAATAATTCTGGACCGCAGAGATACTTTGTCAAGGCTAAGTGTTGGGCATCTCAAAAGAAGAAGGAGGGCTAAGTGTGTGCTACAGTGAGTGCGTTCGATTATGCACGCGAATCGATTCACGAATCGATTCACGAATCGATTCGCGCTATTCACATCACCCCATGTGAATAGAGTGAATGGATTCCGAATCGATTCCAGGGCTCATGATATGAAAATCGAACGACTTGAATGCACTTGAATCGATTCATGAATCGATTCAAGTGTGTAATCGAACGCACTCAGTGCTAAACTAGAGAAAAGCATGTACTCGAAGTGATGTCTGCATATTGCACTTGCACTGCAGCATTGCATGCTCCTTCCACCACATAGTCATTGTTGCATTGCTGCTGACCCTCAACTATTGTGAGATGAAAGGTCAATACCTGGCATATGCAACCTAGCAACAACAGCAATGGGGCCCAAGGGCCAAGGAACGTAGTTATGAAAACCCCTTATCAACCACCTGGGCATACTGACACTGGCAACATTGATTTGCCTTTGTACTGGGAAATCCCGCCTTCCTTATCCCACATCACAGAGAAGGTGCTCCTAACAGAGGCAATAGCAATATAGCGCCGTACCCAACAGCAGATTGGCAGCGGCATATGGCATAGGCTGAGAAGCAAGACCCTGACTGCTTCGCGGTTTCACCTCATCCCTCACCCCAGTGAGATCACATCAGCGTTTCTTCCGTCATTGCTCCAGGCAACTAGTTTCTCATGTGCTTTCGCTATTAGTCAGGGCCAGCACAAATAGGAGTTGTTCTATTTGTATTGTATTTATTATTTTACTAGGGCAATCACTGCAGACAATACGCCTTTTTACAGGGTGCTCGAGGTAAGTGGGTAAAACAAAGTTGAATGCCGAAAAACCGAGGCTGCATACTACGCCATTACGTATTGCTAAGGAGGTTACGTAGAAGGTTGTTATAACATAACAGCCTTCTATGCAGCCTCTGCGGCATGACGAAGGAGGCTGCCTAGCAGCACCCCGATGGAAGAAAACTCCAGCTATCAGAGACCAGGTACCTGTATGTTTTGCAAAGAGAAGCCATGTCGTGAAGAAGCATTAGGTAGGGCTAAAGCGAGGGTGTACTATCCCCTGGTCAAGGCTTCCGTAGCCAGCGTAGGGTGAATATTTGACCTAAAAACAAAGGAAACTCTGCAAAGAGGGGGCTGTGGCGGCCATGCACACATTTATAAAACAAGGCGAAATAATTATTATAAGGTTAGAATGGATGGCGACTGGAATATTTTGTGGCGGTGACAAATGGTGGCTGCTGGGTAGCCAAATGTTATCTTGAGACTCCGCTTGAAGCGTCGAATGAGTGTGTTGTGCAAGGTTACTGATATGATGCCTTGTCTTTGAATCTGGATACTAGAACTCCGAACATGCGACTGTTAGTCATTTCGCTCAATCTTGCTACTTTATTCTTGCAGTCACCCAGATTGCATTGAATACTGTCGAATGCTTCCTCCAGCGTAGGGACCGTATGCCTGGGATATCACTAGGTATGAGTCGTATGTCTTCAGGCAGCTCCTGTGCAGTAGCTCGCGACACGAGGTAGAGCGACGCCGGTTAGCATCAGCCGCTGTTGTCTTGGTGGCCCAGATTGAAAACTCCAGATACAAAATGTTTTACCAGTCTTGCTCTGGCGATTTTCTCCCCTTGTACGTAATCTTCTGGCAAGAAAAGGTCAGATCACACCACTGTAGTGTCACCTTTTTTTACTCTCCTTCTCTTTCCTCCCTTCGAATAGCAACAGTCCGTTTCCTTCACAGTTCAGGATGATGGAAATTTATGGAAAGGTCGAATACCATTTGCTGGGGCCGGGGAGTAACACCTGTCACCAGTACATCCTGGAACACAACAATGGTTGTGGTTGGTCGGCATCCGAAAACAAGACAGCGAAAAATCACTCCAGCCGCTATAAAGCAAACAAAACTGTTTCTTCTATCCAGATTTACAGCTTTAATTTTTCAGTAATCTCAAAGCCGAAGGAAGTGCTAAAACTAGTAACGGTGGAACTGCATGCATTCCATTCATGCACATGCAGCACCTGATCACATAAGCACGCGACAAGCCTAAAATCCGTGTACTTTGCACATCCCGTGCACTTGACAAGCTAAGCCTGGGAGCATCAATCGCATGCCCTCTCAACTTTACGAGGGCTTATTTGGCATATCATCTATTGTGTTAAGAAATACAACCAGCTAAGGAAGCTTCACTTCTGCCAGTCCACCACCATGCCAAGGTGGGAAAGGCAGCGCCCAGCGTCGACAGTGAGATACTGTAAAAGCAGGAATTTTCGGTGGTGTTTTATTTTCGGTAACTTCGGTGCCGACAAGTTTTACCTAAAATAAAACGCACCGAAAATTTTGGTACTACAGTACACTTGCCTGGAAAACGGGTTGACCAAATATTTCACTCCACCGAACCGCTGATTTTGGAGAATACCGAAAATATTACACCACCGAAAATTTCTGCTTTAACAGTAGTAGGTCTGACAACCAAGTGCCGACATGGGGAAAAGCCAGCCTGCTGGCTGCAACCATGTCACTCTCACTCCGAGTAGTGAGTACCCCGTTGACCACGGGTGTTACGTTACAGGTCGTGGTAGATGTAACTGACTAATCGTACATGTGACAGCACTATGATCTCTTGTTGTCAGACTAACTTGGTTGTTGCTGCTATTGTCATTGTCATTATGCCATGCACCCCCCAAGACTGTGTACTGTGTTGGTTTGTGTGCACTATGTCTACAGTAATCGCTGGTTCTTATGTCAATGTGCTGCAACTACTTCTCAACTTCCCCGCCATTGCTGACGTACAGTACATCGTGCAGAGGGCACTGTTCTTGCAGGATCCAAATGTAAGGAACTATGTGTCAACGTGTACTCCTTTTCTGCATGACGCCCACTTTTTATAGACCAATAATAGCTGGCATCTATAACCCGTAGTGACTTTTTAGCAACACCGTACGTTGTGCTTCTCAAGGTCATTGTGCGGCGGGGTACTCCATCGTAATCTTCTGTTTCTCGCTTTGTGCACGCTTGCTTGTTTCTCAGATCTACCCACGTCCGCCAAATTGGGAGATGCAGAGCACGGATTCGGCCACTGCAACGCTGGTAGCACCAGCCGGCCTGAGAGCAACCGGCAGCAGTCGACTGACAGCAGCAGTGCGCAGTGGTGTTACTCAGGGTGCACGCTCTCTGGCAGGCAAGGTGAGTGCTTAGTAGTGGACTGCTGCTCTGATCTTAGGGAAGGCCAGCATTGGTGGTTGACACTCCGCCGCCTCACAGCATCAAAGTGTACAGCTGCTGGCATTGCAGTGCATACAATGCTCTTTTTCTCTGTGTGTGCTTCATCCCTGCCTCTCTCTCTCTCTCTCTCTCTCTCTCTCTCTCTCTCTCTCTCTCTCTCTCTCTCTCTCTCTCTCTCTCTCTCTCTCTCTCTCTCTCTCTCTCTCTCTCTGTATCTGTATCTGTATCTGCCTTTCTCCTGCGCATAGACAGCAAACTTGTTCAAGAAACCTGAGGGATCAGGAGCATCTCCAGCAATGTCACCCCGCACCGTGTTCTATACCGACACTGAGAGCGAGGAGTCTTCCTCCAGCACTACTGCGACGGCAGCGGCAGCACCAGCAGCAACGTCACCAGGTACCCGCACCCAGCCCTCTATGTCATCCACATTCAGGAACCCTAAGCCACAGTCGCCAGAAAACCCTCAGTCACCGTCACCAAGTGGTGATGATGCTCCGAAGTAAGGCATTTTGCTTGTTTTGTCTTCACCTAGTACACCTTCTTCAGTATCATGCGCCTTACCCAAAACTGCGCTTAGAAATGTGCATGCTCTAATGTGACGTAGAGAGAAAAAAAGGCAGGGTCATAACATTACAACACAAGAAGCCAGGGGCATAATATTACAACACAGCCGTGAATACTTATTAGTTATTACTTAGCTCATCAAAGGACATTGCTATGAATTCGGAATTGCTCAGCATTCCGAATCAGGTAATCGCAATGTTTATGATTGTGTTCTGTCGGTTTCCCGTGTAAAGCTATTTTTCATATATTATCATTGTTTTTTCAGATGGTGAGCCAATTTAATTATGGATAAAAAGGAAAAGGCCAAAAAATGGTACGAGTTATGAACTGTCCACCAACGTAACTTTTCATGTATATAATCTTCTCCTTCTGTTTACCATGGTTGGCTATCACCCACATCTTCCCGTTTTGGCTGCCATCGGAAGCCATAAGATGTTGAATAAATGAATAAATAAATAAAGTAACCAGATCATAATATACAGTCAGCGAGTGCGACACAATGGCACAAAACTGACACAGAGTACTGAGACATTCAACGACCTGACACCTAGCTCCAACACTTCTCCGAGTACTCCTTGTCAGTTTTGTGCCATTGTGTCGCACTCGCTGACTGTATAGTATCTGGTTACGTTGGTGGACAGTTGGTCAGAACTCGTACCAATTGTTGTCCTTCTCGTTGTTGTTTTTTGTCCTGTATTTTCGATCACCTTTGTGTGTCGGTGCGTGCCACAGCAGTAGCAGGTCAACATTTTACACGAAACCTAGTCCCGAGCCTACTGATCCAGGCAAGCGACTGACGGCCGTGAAAAAGGTGAGAGCATGATGTATTATAGCGTTAGGGGAAAGCTGGACCTGTTTTTTCTGTCTTTGAGTTCGGTTTGGAATCTGAAACAACCAGACCTGCCTGTGCACCACATTTTGATTTGCGTCGTGTACAAATGGACTTTGTGTTACATACTTGTACTTCTTCTTTCAGCACTAGTATGACGTAAGGCATGTAAGTGACGAGGCTGAGGACACGCACTGCGAGAGGCAGTGTTCCTGACTATGATATCGGTTGCCAGGACCTTGGCCTGCACAGCCATATGGGTTGAACGTTTTCTGGGTACCCTGGCTCTGTCCAGCTTGTGAGCTAGACTGCCTTTGAGGCTGGAATATCTTAGCTCGTGTACTGCCGGAAATCTTGTGAGTTCGCAAAGGGGGAAGGGTTCGCGAAATATTGAACACCCAAACAAGAATATTTGCACGGGTACGGTGACATCACATCTCAGTTTGCTAACAGTCGTGAAATCAAACTAAGCACACTCCGCTAAATGTCCATCTGTTTCAGTCATGTATGTCCCATGTGAGTACATCTCCTTGAGCTTGACTGTTCATGGGTGTTGAGTTAATTGCCGAGGACTTCCCCTGCACACTCTATATTTGTCCATCCGGTTATGCTAAGTATTTCTAGTTATTGATATTTGGCTTCTGTACTGACTGGGTGTTGCCATTTCGTGCTCGTTTGATTTGTGCATCCAGCCGGCGGATGAGCAGCTGGAGGAATGGTTACAGGTCTGCAAGCTGTGCGGCGATCGCCTGGCCACTAGCCTACGTATGTGCAACTGCACGGGGAAGTTCCCCACAGCTCTTCGTGTGTCACCGTGCTATGTGATGTAATCCACCAACAAATTCGCACACTTTTTTTACGTCTTTGTTGTATTATGGTAGTGCCTCACCTTTGGATATGCTAAGATCATTCACACAATCGCTTGTGCCAGAGTGCTATCACAGAATGTTCCAACTCCAAACTTATCATTGGCAGTGAACAAATCTTTTTTATTTCTTTTCTTTTCGTGCAATATAATGCCAATGGGAGCATTGTGTTTACTCGTGTCGCATTGTGCCATGCACAGGATCTCTTGAGACGCAGCTTGTTGGCATGGGCACTGAATTGCCAGAGGGAGTGGATGACAAGGTCTTCCTCTCAATTGCCAGTATGAAACAGGTAAGCATGCTGTGGGCTTAGAAGGATTGTTGTTGTTGCTGTTGTTGTTGTTGTTGTTGTTGTTGTTGTTGTTGTTGTTGTTGTTGTTGTTGTTGTTGTTGTTGTGGTTGTTGTTGTTGTTGTCGTTAACCCTTTGTGCGCTCAACGAGCGATTTCGCTCGTTGAGTATACAGTGGCACTGAAAAAGTGTATCTCTGGTGTTCCTTCGCCGATTTTCATAAACAAAGCATCTACGTTTCGAGGGGAACCTTGGCTATCACGTCGAAGTTATCCAAAGTCTCTACGAGGTACAATGCCGCCGTGGTGACTCGAGATCGGAGGAAAACTGAAAAATTCACTCCGATCGAAAAATTCAAATTTTCACACTGCATTTGGCAAGGGTTTTCCCCGGAGTGCTACGTCATACTCAAGCATGCTGCACACCAAAATGTTGCGCTTGAAACGAGCTTTCCGCTGTAGTTTGTTTGAAGTTGATGTGATGAAGGAGCATTGAATGGCGGCTGTTTGAACTTTGCTGGAGCTGTTCGCGCACGGCTGCTGTTTTGAGCGGCATTCTAGGCCACGCAGAGCAGAGGCCGTGCAGGTAGCTGGCTTGAGTGTGGTATTAGTCGCTTCGTCTTGGAAATACCTTTCCAGCGATGTCAACTTTGTAAAATCGGTGAATGTTTGGCAGAGATACAAGCGAAAGTGCATGTTATTTGAAGGTGAGTAAATTGTCGTACTTTCAGTGGCCTCACGAAGGGTTAAAGAAGAATACAGTATAAAAGGCCTCTAAAGGAAATTCTAGGTAGTCTTCGCATACACTGCAGCTGTGATACAAATAGGTCTTAACTTTACTATGGGCCATCTGCAGCGCTGCAAGTACGTTACAAGTACCACAATGTGGGCTCACAGGCACTCCTATGCTGGTATTGTTACGGAAGATTGTGCTTCTGAATTGCCAATGCACAACTGCATGCTTGAACTTCACAACACCTACAACAATACAGCCGTGCAGTACGTCTAGGGAAGAAGCAGCGAGAAGCAAAGACAAGCGAGTGACTGGTGCGTTCTACCCTGCCACGAGCTCAGGCCGGATATAGCTCCACAGTGTACTAGTATCATGGGAGCACTAGTAATAATTATAAGCATTGAATGTTGTGAGCGTGGATGCTTTCCCTGTGCCCTGTAGGTACGTGATCTGATGAAGGGAACACTAGGCTATGACCTATCTGTGGATGATGCTGAGGCTATCCTGTCCATCGATGTCGCAACCAGCCTGGGGCCAAGCAATGCTACGACCTCCGCTAGCGACAATGACACCGCCAACGCCGATGACAATGCTTGCAGCAGCGAAACACCATCCTCGGCGGAACAAAGCTAGTGTGCAAATTGTCCAAAGACAAACACGTCGTGATTGTGAGCACCTAGTGAAGCTTGATAGGACGTCCTTTTTTCCCAGTTTTCTGTTTTCGTTTCGTATCGCTGTCATTCAGCAGCATGCCAGACACTGCTTATCAAAGAGAACGCTGCCATGCAGCCACACATCTCTTGCACTTTACCTTAGCTGCGTATGCCAATCGGCCGGCTGAGCTGGTATGCCTGGTATCTTCTCGTTCTTCTTCGTTACCTTGTTATTTATGACATTTCCAAGAGAGATCAATAGGACAAACTTTAACGTTACCTTTCAATGCTGCGCATTGCGATAATTATTTGAAATTACTTTTCTTATCAATTCATTAGACTGGCCCACCTAGCAGATTATCAATTAGCTTTGTATGATCTGCTGCCTCTTTCCTATTTTTACCTCTCTGGAAAGCCTAGGTTCCGTAACATATCCATTTTCTTCTCTTTTATTTGCGTTATCTGTTGACCATATTCCATTAGGTTGTAGCATTCTAACCCAGCCACTAGTTACCTTAACCCCGGCCCGTGTGGCTGTTCAGCACCGCCTCATCTTCCCCATCCCGTTTTGAAGTGCCAGTACCATTAATTTTATGATTCTCCATAACTGTAGTTGCCAGCTGCACCTCTTTACTCTACACTCTGTCTACATCTGTTTGACCGTGTGGACGGTGCCCTTCTATGCTGATAATGGTAACGCCAAACAAGAGTACCTGTAAACTGGATGCACGCAACGCTAGTTTTGCGAACACCAATGCCAATGCTGTGGTGTTGCTACCAGTTCAAACTAAACGTTTATGCGCTCGTTTTGTTTGGGTGCAGGCAGACACTACGTGTAGTATTAACAAGAGTAGATCTACATAGTAGTAGTAGAGAGGTTCTGCTATACGTGAAACGTAGAGAAATCACGTAGAGAGCAGGTGTCTGGGTTAGAGTCTACGGCTTCGCGTGTTTTGGCTCCAGATTTCTACGCGGAGATGGGGTTCTCTACGTTGTGGCACACGCAGAGAAAATGCGTACGGATTTGCTGGGTATCGATCAACTGCATGCAGAAAACTGCCACATATGGAATGGGGAATTACCAGTACACATTCCACGTGACTTCTCCAGGTGAAACGTAGAGCAGAACAGCATTTCTTTACGTTACGGGAACGCGAAGAAAGTTCGCGTGATTCTTTGCGGTCGCGTTCCCAACACGTAGAGCAGAACCTCCCTAGTAACCCCCTGGGGGTTATGACGTACTCTTCGTAGTACCGGTATTATGTGTCGAACTTAAGTTAAAGTCACTTCTTGGATCCAGGCTTCCAGGGAGCGCGACTGTCACCCTAAGTACTGGTTCGATGCCAACTTGTGCCCTGAGTACTTCTACTAGCGGAGCGTCCAGTGCCATGTTTGTTGCTTCCCACAAAGCTGGGCAACAGAACTGCCAGCATGATCTTCGCTACACCTGTTACCCAGGTCTTTATCCTTCGAAGTACAGTAGGTACTCAAACTGATAGTGATAGAAACGTGGCAGTCTCTCCGGAGGCGTGGGTTCGAATCCCACCGCTGCCACCAATTATGTAGCGGGCCGCAGTCTCTCTCTCTCTCGGAGGCAAGTGCACTCGGGTCTCAGTGAACACACTGTTGAGTGTTGTTTATTATCACTGAACTAAACTGAAGACTACTATCATTGTAAACATTAACTCTGACTCTAACTCTAAACTGACATCTCTAACTGAAGTTTCTAACTGAAGAGAAGAGAATTGTGAACTGCAGCTTTTATAGGGTGAGAACCTGCTAGTGTAAGTAAGCTAGTCTATGACCAGGGGATACGTAGACCAGAAGAAGAAAGGTCAAAGTAAGATGTATGGGCCACAGTCATTGCACAAGGAATGCTATTTTGGTTCTATGCAGAAGAAGGAGCTGAATAGCGGTGTGGGCAATGGGCGTAAAAGAGGCGGTTGAAAGTGCAGCAAAAGGTCTAGAGTGTACATGTGCTAGTAATAGTATTTCTAAGGTCGAAACATTGAACGCAGTGAGACTAGTTACTAATACTATCGATGTCATGGACCTGCAAGCACGGTAGACCTACAGAGTTGCAGACCAAACCTATTGAGAAGCACATTGAGCTTGGGAAGTTTCGCTGGCTTGTGCCAGATCACCACCATGGCTGATCTTTAGGTACTCTTACAACGGTGTCAGCTGGGGTTATGCGTTAGAGTCCACCAACTCAACAGCATTGTGTACTGTTTGACATCAGAAGCATAATTCCAACTACTGGTATCACACCACGCACAAAGAATAGCAGCATTGTGGATGACAATGCCCAAGCCAAGGGTAGATCTATTCGCAAACGTTACACACCAGTGATAGGGTCAAGTGGCTCCGGAAGTCCGGATACTACCATGCGCTAGTGAACATGAACAGCTCTAGACCAGAGGAAGCACACCATAAAGCGCGAAGAAGATAATAATTGTATCTACAAGAGTGAGAGTACATAAGGGTTTAATGTAGACAAAACCCAGTCCCCAAGACCAAACGTAATACTGTGCACGAATGTAAGTGTGCAGGAGTACTCGAGTCCATGATGTTGTTGTTCACCAGGTTGGAGAGTTGAATCTGCTGAGGTCATACAATGATCCATCCAGTGTTGAAAAACTTTATTTTGCCTGTTAAGAGAGGCTGTGCACCAGGGAGTAGTAAAATTTGCTTGACACAATATCTTTATTCAAGCAGACTTAGCTCAACAAAATGTGACTCGGAACAGGAAGGAAACACAGGACTACTACCAGCTGTATACCCTCAACCCTTCTTGTCTACCAGATCAAAGAAGACGTACATGTACTTCAGGTCCAAAGCGGTCGGGTTGTGGTGCTAGCCCGCTACCACTTACATGTCCATGTACATGTAATACCAAGAAGGGTATTATCAGCTCCCTAGGAGCTTATTTACTCTTCTTGGTATTGCTAGTATTACGTTCACATTAGCGCGGAGATCCAGTGTGAGAACTTCTGTGGCTCAGCTAGACAATGGCCCGGACTGGAACCCGCAACCATTTACGCGTCCACAGCACAATGACACTGACACTGACAGTGATACATGTACATGTACATGTAGGTGGCTACTAAAGGAGCCTTATAACGTTAGCCATAGTTCTGCATACTGTTTGAGGTTCTGGCATCGGAAGTCGGATTGACTTTAATACAGTTACACTTGTAGTTCCTGCACTGATGTGGCGTTATCATAATTTTTCATGATCTCCAGGGCATGTTTGCTGAAATTCAAGACATAACACTAACTGTCGCTGCAGGTCAGAAGTACATTGCCCAGGCCGGCCCTGGTGATCTAATATTACGGATTATTACCATGTCCCGGATACGAGAGAGCGCACATCTACATGTACCGGTACCTGACAAAGGAAGGTTAACACTAAAAATTGATAATAAAATAGGCATGCAACCTACCATGTACTAGCACCTCAATCAGTTGCCACAGGCTCACAGCTGCACCGGACGATCAAGGCAAAAAGGATCCGGCGATGCTCGCAGCTTTTCCGTTGTATTATTTAAAAAAACGTTTGTAGTCTGGCTCGGGCCGGCTTCTGGGGAATTGAATAATTATGATGATTGGAGCCACGGATCCCATTCGCGTGTTCCCTGCTTCCCCACTGTTTAGGTATGTGTGCCGGCACTGCATCATGCATGTACCCCCCTAGCCTGCAGGCCCAAGAGGGAAGAAGTGTGCATGCAGATCATTCCTTTGCTCCAATCCAGCTGTGCACTCTTGTACATGTATCTGCATGCCTTCCGACGGTCGACGGGAGGACGGAAGGAACTACAACTACAGAGTATTGTAGTACATGTATACTATTACTACTATACCAGGTATACATGTGCATGTACATGTATAATGTATCTCCCAAAGATCGGACAGACTCACAGGAAGTAATTAGTTGTCGAGTCATGAATGGAGCCCTACTGAGTATACTGTACATGTAAGCTCCTCCACAGTCCTCTTCGCCTCCCCCAGGACCCCGGATCCCCGCGGACCAGGCCATCATCCGTGGCCGTGGGGGTGCGACGACTGATCCATCGTTGCGATGGCTCCGTACCGTGACGAGAAGATCTATCAAAATGATATCGCACCTGTATACCTGTATACCTGTATACCTGTATACCTGTATACCTGTATACCTGTACTGTAGAGACTAAAATAAAAGCAGACTGTGTAAACTCTGATAAGGCCCTTGGCGGGAACGTCGCTGATTGGTCGTCCGCTGCACAATGAGACTCACCTCGATCTAAAGAATGTACAAGGAGTTGTACTTGTAGTGTACCCTGGGGTAACGCCAGGCTGGAACTAGGAACTGCAGAACTGCAGATCTACTATGCAGGATAACGGAGTAACGACAGCGGCAAGAGCAGCCCACTTGGCTATTTCGTTGTTCTTGCCAGCATATGATAACCTTTTACTTTTAGCTCTCTGTTGCTTGGAAGCGTTATGACTTACATGTATTATGTTCATGAAGTCCATCAATGATTTCTGAGTGTTGTGTGATTGTCCAACGTTACTTTACCGCCCCGTGTAGCCCCCACTTTCCAGAGCTCTCGAGAGCTGAAGAGCTACATAATCAGTCATGATTGTTGGCTTGTCCTCCATGCCATGGCCACATGGCAAGAGCCTACAATAATGATTGTTTTTGTAGTGTGTTAATTTATGACCACGCCGTGACACGGCCAGTGGTCACCAATGGTCACACCTGCACACCGGCCGACCTCACGACCAGAGCTAGCTCTGGTCGTGAGGTCGGCCGGTGTGCAGCTACAGTTATGTAGAGGCAGAGTTCATCGCCGGGGCCGTATTCACATCAAACTCAGTTTAATTTCAAAGTGAAAGAAGTGGTCGTGCATGCACCTCTTCACATTCACAATCATGGTAGTGTCACCAGAGTTCGCCACTGTTTTTAAAGTGACTAAGTAACTAAGTACTTGTAGTTAGTTAGCGGTGGAAAGCTTGTGTGGAACTGCGGACGGTTCTACTCATCATACATGTACAAATGTACATGTACATGCACGGTTGTTTGGAACCGGAAGGGACGTCTTCCCTGCAGTCGAAAAATTAATACATAAATCAGTCCCTCTTCAACTCGGTTGGAGAGCCAAGGATTAGGAACAAAGTGTTACAAAACTTACATGTTATCCGTAGTTCGTCCAACACTAACACAGTTACAGCAAGATAATTATGGAGTCAGAAGGTGCAACAGTTAGCACAATAACTTCGTTACGGACTGATGTGGTACTGACCTTCAACGACCTGATGTTTTAGGTTCTAATGAAGTTATGAACTAACGGCATGAGAAAGGGGAAGTGGAGCGCATTCAAGACGAAAACAAGCTAACAGCGAACTATAAACGGATGACAAGATGGTGACGAAAGACAAAGGATCACGGCACGTTTCGCGTTCTTGAAGTGAGCTGTGGCCGTCCTGTGCCGTGGTCCTTCCTCTTTCGTTACCATCTTGTCAACGCTAACATTCTTAGTTCGCTGCATGTGATTTTTAGGCTTTAGCTTGTTTTCGTCTCGAGTGCGCTCACCTTCCCCTTTCTCATGTTTTTTTCATACGGTAACTGTTACTTAGAACCAAGAGTACATAACCCCCCGGGGGGTTATGTAACAGTATAGACTTGATTGATTGGAGAATTCGTCGAATGATGTTCAAACCAGAGGT